GTGCCTGCAGGACCCCCTTAGGGGAGCTGCTCTGTTTGTGACGTCTGTGCGGTGCGTGTGGTCTATAGGTGATGACAGACGTCCGTCGGGAGTGTTTTGTGTGTTCGAGTGAGCACCTTCAAGAAGTGCTAAACAGTCGGTGGTCCGGTGTTTAGAGTGCCTGCAGGACTCTTAGGGGAGCTTCTCTGTTTGTGATGTCTGTGCGGTGTGTGTGGTCTATGGGTGATGACAGACGTCCGTATGGAGTGTTTTGTGTGTTTGAGTGAGCACCTTCAAGAAGTGCTAAACAGTCGGTGGTCCGGTGTTTAGAATGCCTGCAGGACTCTTAGGGGAGCCACTCTGTTCGTGATGTCTGTGTGGTACGTATGGTCTATATGGGTGATGACAGACTGTCCGTCTGAGTGACTCCCTGGCGCAGCGGGTGGTGGGAACCAAGAGTCTGCGGACTTAACTCGTGACGTGAGTAGGTGATGTGCTGCTTTGCTCCGTGTTGGATGTGTAGACTGCCTTGTCTCCGCTCTGCTGCGGCCTTGCTGCCCGTCTCTCTTGCGGTGCACATTGCTCTTTGTAAGCTGCTGTGTTCACGATGTGGTGTGGCTGCGGTGTTGGTGTTGCCATGTGCTTCGCTGCACTGCTGCCTTGCTTCCCATCCGCCTTCCTTGCTTGTGTCCGTGTAGTGTGGCTGCTGTGTTGGTGTTGCCTTGTGCTTAGCCGTGCCGCTTGTCCACTTGCCCTGTTTTTCATTGTGGTCGTTTCTGGCGTTGTGCAGTTGAGGTTGCTCCAGCAGCGTTGCCTGGTGCTTCGCTGAGTTGTTGCTCGCTGCTGTGTTCCGCTTGTGGACAGTCTGCCTTCAACATGGGTCGAAGGGTTCATGACCCAAACCATCAATACGGGGATTCTGCAGATTGTCGAGGGTTCAGCCTCCTGACGAGTCGGTGCAACTCCGACAAAACAATCTTCTATCATCAGTTTTTTATTTTTTAGAACTTGCTTTTTTTTTCAGACTTGTACTTTTTCTTGCTTGTCAGCCTCTGTGTTGCCTGCTTTTTCCGCTTGTGTGTTGGGTGGCCCTCGTGCCTACCCCGTGCCCTCCAACCTCTGTGCTGCCTTGCAGCCCTTGCTGCTTACTATCTCTGTTTTTTTTTTTTTTTCTGCTGCTTATTGTCTTTTCACGGCCTTTAGACTCGACTCCACTCAGATATGTATTCTCCTCCTGAGGTGTTGTGGTGGTATGGTGCATGGTCCTTTACTGCCATGTGTGTTCACATACATCTTCACACACAGCCAGAACTCACCTGGCTTGTTCGGCCCAGATTTGGGCTCAGACCAGGTTCAGTGGACTTGGGCAGGGTCGGGCCCAGGGCAGCTGAGTGGGGCCCAGGATCAGGCTCGGGGGCGTTGTATTCAGCAGAGTTGGGGCTGACAGACTGTGCAATGTCCGCTGTTTCCTGTTAGTCTCAGCAGAGTCGGGGGCGACAGACTGTGCAATGTCCCGCGGTAATTGCGGTCAGGTACATGTAGAAAAGTGTGAGTGTGAGTATCCCCTGAGGGCATACTCACACTAGTACTTTTTCACTTATTTCTGGACGGAATTGCGGCCAGATGCATACAGGTCCGCCCGTAAATGAAGCCAGATACAGTTAAAATAGTGATAGGGTGACTGCGCCCTCAGTTTGAAAGGCATAGGTAGTATCAGATGCACGGAGAGCCACCACAGCTGAGCTGGGCAATGGCTGCCGTCCTGCATCATGATGGATGCTTCAGGGTCTGCGGGTTTGTTGAGCTTCTGTGCCAGTGCTGTGGTGCACAGTCTGACATATGGACTTGCCAATCTCATGGCTCCTCTGCGCGCCTGTCGGTCTGTACAGCTATGAACCTACAGTCTTGTCTTCACGTAAAAGCTTGAAGTTCTCTCTTTCTTTGTAGGTGAACTTCCTTTCTGGTGTGGTTTGCAGGTTGCTGTCTGCCTCTGTTTATAAAATTACTCTTTTTTTTGTTATGCACACTCAATCTGCCTTTCAGACTACCTCTCAAAGCAACCTTAAAAAATAAAAATAAAAATAAAATAAATAAATAAATAAATAAAATCTTCTTCCCTTTTTTTCCCTATTTGTCATTGCAGGAGGCTCAGCCTGCTTTTAGTGCAATTCCCTCGTCCCTCTGGCCTAAGAAGAAAAGAACGGTTTGGAAAAGGTTTTGAAATCACAATAAGGGCCTCGCCACACCACTGTAGAATCAGAAAAAGTACAAGTGCATGGTCCCGCGGCGTGTGACCAGATGCATCCGTTACTATGAATAGCAACGGATGCATCTTGCCACTCTCTGCGGAAGGTGCACTCGTACTTTTTTCCATTTCGACAGTGGTGTGGCGAGGCCCTGAAACATCCTTCTCACTGTTTCTCAGTCCTTCAGGAAACCACATCCGACAAAAATTGGAACGATAAATAAATAAATAAATAAAAGTGGAACGATACAGAGAAGATTAGCATGGCCTGCGCGCTCCTGATGACATGCATAAACCGAAAAATGGTCCAATTTAAGAAGAAAAAGAAGAAGAAGAAAAAACAAACAAACAATTGGACATCCTCGCTTCCACTCAAGCTGATCCATTCATTGCCCCATGGTGCCAACTGCCAAAGCAAGTGCTCAAGCAACTTCTGCCTATGGTGTACCGGCCCTTCCGCTGAATGGACGACTGACGACAAACAGATGACGAGTCCAAAATTCAAATCAAATCCTTGATTGTAACCCTAGGGGGCTATCCCCTTTAGCAAAAAAAAAGACAAAAAAAAAACAAAAAAAAAACATACGGTAAGTGATTAGTTTGAAAATGATTGGTCAGCTGAATGGACAACTGTCGATAAACAGATAATGAGTCCAATATTGAAATCAAATCTTTTTTTTTTTTTTTTTTTTGGGGGGGTGGGGTGGGGAAATCAAATCCGTGATTGTAACCTTCGGGCTATTCCCTATTACCCAGAAACATAAAACAAAACTCTACAGTAAGTGATTAGTTTGCATTTATTATTGCTCACTCCGGGCACTCCCTATAATAATAGGTGCCGCACGTAAAAGTAATGCTATGGTTTCCCGGAAAATAGGTACATGTAGATACATAGACTTAGAGAGAGAGAGAGAGAGAGAGAGAGAGAGAGAGAGAGAGAGAGAGAGAGAGAGAGAGAGAGAGAGAGAGAGAGATGGCACATGCAATGTCTACAAACGCCACCAACTCGATGCAGCAAGGGTGCTTGGAAAAAGATCTAAGCACGTGCCCCCTCTCTCGCTCCCTCGCCATGACCTTCTCCAAATCACCATGATGGACTCCATGAAGCGACCTTCGTAACTCTCTCGATGTCCCCCTCTTGTAGGTGCTTGCACACAGCCTGCCAATGGTGTTCAGACCTGCGCTCAACCCATCGATCGCAACATGATTTGCAAACGATCGCTAAAAGTACTTGATATTCCCAATTACATATTTCATGAACCTTTTGTCCTGTCCAGATTCGACAGTTAATTCAATCGGTTGAGCTTAAAGAATTAGCCTTAGAAGAAAAAGAAAAAAAAAAATGCACCGGGGGAGGAGGGGAGGCTTCTCTACTCTGGCAGGTGATATAAGAAGCACCCTGCTGGAGTAGATTCACCTCGGTTATTAAAAAAAAAAAAAAAAAAAAAAAAAAAAAAGATTCGCCCCGATTGACAATTGATGGCACTTGCAAGTGACCTGCTGGAGTAGATTCCTCCCCCCGCCCCCCGTTTTCATACGCTTCGCGAAATTTGAAGCCAAGCTTATGAAAACTGGAGGGGGGGTGAATCTACACTGGCAGGGGAGCCTACTGGAGTAGATTCCCCCCCCCGTTTTCATACGCTTCACGAAATTTGAAGGCAAGCTTATGAAAACTGGGGAGTCGAATCTACTCCAGCAGGGGAGCCTGCTGGAGTAGATACCCCCGCGTTTTCATACGCTTCACGAAATTTGAAGGCAAGCTTATGAAACCTTGGGCGGGTGAATCTACTCCGGCAGGGGAGTAAGCTTCACCGCAGTGACTGTCGGCAATTGATGAGACTTGGGAGTGATGGAGGCGCGGGCCATCAAGTGCTCTGACCTCCTTGACTTCGTTGTTGACGGAGGAGTTGCAGTTTTTTTTTTTTTTTTTTTTTTTTTGCGGCTTGGATGAAATGTGTGCAGATTATCCGCAGCCTCAGATCTTTTCAGGATGCACCGGCAAACGTACGAGAACTTAACATTGGGCAGGACTGAGTGAGTTTGGGGGAAAAACATACATCAACGGCTGTACAGATGCTAGCACCACATGCGCGCTGGAATTGCTCTACCTGCTGAGAAGATACAGCTCTGATCTGCAGTGGACGTATTCATTGCAAGATAACAGGCAGGTACATTGATGTTTTCNTGGACGTATTCATTGCAAGATAACAGGCAGGTACATTGATGTTTTCATTGTAGATATGCTGACGATAGAGCTCCGATCTGCTGTCACAGTGGACGCATGCACTAAGGAACTGTACAGACCGAGGCTTAACATAATTATTAGAATGGACGTATTCATTGCAAGATAACAGGCAGGTACATTGATGTTTGCATAGCGTGTTGACACAAACGGTCTTGAGTAATCAAATGCAATGTCGCTGCGGCAATACCATCGGATCAATCCTCTCTAACCGGGATCATCTGGGAAGAGCCTATGGGCTCGCTATTGCACTCGCCTGCCGAATTTGGAAAGGGCATGCTATTTTTGGCATTTCACAATGGCCTGTTCCAAAAGGAGAAAGGAGGTATGCATGGAACCCTCAGGGTACTGTTCTCTGAGGGCATTCTCACACGAGGACTTTTGTACTTGTTCATGGTTTTAATTGCAGTCAGATTCATCCAGGCGGGGGCGTAAACGCGGTCAGATGCATTTAAGATAGAGCTAGTGTGAGTACACCCTGAGGTCTACCCTGTGCCAGTAGATTATGTCCAGGTCGGTGAAGGTCGAGCCGGTTCCGAAGAGAACACCTGTCCTCAGCAGAGTGAAGGTAGATCTGGGTTCCCCCCGAACCGTTCAGATCAGGGGTATTCCTTAACAGGAAGATTATTATTATTATTATTATTATTATTATTATTATTTGTGTAGGTGCAGTATGAGGAGTCACATGATAAGATAAGGAACTGAATGGCGACAGCTCAGTGTACCACAATGGTTCTGATCGACTCGTTCTGTTAGCTGAAGCTGCTGAAACCCTTGAGATGGGGACTTGTCGACCCCTGCCGAGGGGTGGTACTGCCAGCTGCAGCCCATGGCTTGTCCACCACCAACTTCAGCAGTCTCCTGTATTATATTGACCTGTTTTTAGCTTAAACCTACAGGTCAGTTTCTTCTTCTCGCGCTGTTTTCGTTGTTCTCGTCATAGCTGTTGTCATCACCATCATCACCATCATCACCATCATCACCACCATCGACATCATCACCATTACCATCCTCATTATCGTTCTCAGCATCTTCTTTTTCTCTTCAACATTGTCATGATATTATTCTCTCTCCTTTTCCTGGAGTAGTCAATCTGCCCTATCGATTTACCATAGCTGCACATCTATTCGTTCTTCTTTCTTTCTTCTCCTTCTTCGTCTCCTTCTTCTCCTTCGTCTTCTCCTTCTTCTTCTCCTTCTTCTCCTTCGTCTCCTCCTCCTCCTCCTCCTCCCCCTTCTCCTTCTTCTCCTTCTTCTCCTTCTCCTCCTCCTTCTCTTTCTTTTCCTTCTTCTTCTTCTCCTTCTCCTCGTTCTCTTTCTTTTCCTTCTTCTCCTTATTCGTCTACTTCTCCTTCTTCTTCTCCTTCTTCTTCTCCTTCTTCTCCTTCTTCTCCTTCTCTTTCTTTTCCTTCTTCTTCTCCTTCTTCTCTTTCTTTTCCTTCTTCTTCTTCTCCTCCTCCTCCTCCTTCTCCTCCTCCTCCTTTGCCTGCTTCTTCTCCTTCTTCTTCTCCTTCTTCTCTTCTCTTTATTTTCCTCCTTCTCCTTCTTCTCTTTATTTTCCTCCTTCTTCCCCTCCTCCTCCTCCTCCTCCTTTTCTTCTTCTTCGTTCTCTTTGAGAAGAAGGTGATGGATGTGGAGGAATGGGAAGGACTGTCTGCAGAAGAGCTCAGAAGCCGCCTGTTCTCCTTGCTTCAGCGTGCGGGTGTGGTAGATCATCTCAAGACGCAGCTTCGCGTGAAGATATTGAACCAACTGCAACAGAGGAACCCTTTGCTTTTGTCCCCAACGGATGGGACAGCTGGCCAATCTGACAAAACAACTGCAGGGAGGTCAGCGCTGCACAAGCGGATTCTCAACAGTCTTTTCATTGATTATCTCCGAACCAGCGGTTTCCATTACACACTCTCTGTCTTTCTGCCTGAATGTGGAATGCTGGCCAGCGCAGCTCCACTTTCTCGAGAGGAGATCATGCGAGCAATGCGGCTCGACCATCATCCGCTTGTTTTTCCTTACCTGAGTGGAACGGGATTCAGGACAAAGAAAAATGATGAGTCGGGAGATCCAAAGCCCTTCCAGAATGGCAGAGGAGGGGGTGGGGGAGAAGGACCATCATCGTCAACATCGGCAGGAGCATGTGGAGTGGGAGGAGTGGGCGAGCTAGAAGGAGGAGGAGGAGGAGGAGGAGGAGGAGGAGGAGGAGGAGGAGGAATGGAGGGTTCTTCCTTGGCGATGGAGCTGTTAGAGGCATTGGAGAAAGTATACGATGCAAATCAGCGAGCCGAGAACTCCACACAGACCGTCAATGCGTCAACGGCGATCTTTTTGGAAGGGAGACTGAAAGAAGTAGAAGATGCCTTTCACATGAGGGCGAAGGCAGAGCTCTTGATCCCGCTGAACACGATGGAAGAGCAAATGAGCCAATACAGACGGGATTTGGAGCTTCGCTGCAGGGCAGAGATCGATGCGCAAGTCAGCAGAATCAGACGGTTGGAAATAAGTGCTGCAAGGATGGAGGAGGAAGCCCGCTACAGGCGACACCTGGAGCAGGCGAGGGAGCATCTAGAGAAGATGCACAAGAGGCGGTTGGACGCTCTCCGCTCCAAGGAAAAGAGCATGATGGCTCATCTCCACCACAAGGAACGGTTTGTTGAGACGGCGGCATTTGAGCTCAGGCAAAAGGTGCTAGCAGATGCCGAAGGCATCAGCAGGAAGAAGGCAACTCTCACTCTCGTGTCAGATGAAGAACATTAAACCACCAGTATGTTTCCCCCCGCTATTTTGGTCAGAGACTTGGCGGTCACGGTTAACATGCCACGTCGTTAGGGGCTCCGTCCAGGTAGCAGACAGAAAAGACTGGCGTCGTCAGGCAAACTGCACACTGTGCCGGTTCGGCAGGACTCGGCGACCTCCAATGGCAAAACTCCACGGCGGGGAAAAGAGGCTCGGACGTAGTACTTGTGGTTTAAGGAATATATTTATCAGATATTTTGTTAATGTACCCTACGCATTACAGAGACGGCTTGTGGAAGGGGAGGTTAGACGGTAGACAAGGACAAAATAGTAGAGGTTGAAAGCAGAGAATGCACTCCAAAGAAAGGAGGGAGGGGGAGGAGGAGAATGCACTGCAAACGAAGTAGGAGGAGGACGAGAAGCCTTGTGAGGCGAAAGGAAAATCAAGTATGAGAGGATGGCTATGGCCAAAAACAGAAGACGAGGAGGAGGAGGACAACCTCTCTCAGGTGAAAGGAATTAGAAAGAAGCGAATGCCAAGCAACGAAAAAAGCAGGAGGAGGAGGATGTAGGTATGGGAGGAGAAGGGCAGTTGGAGACTAAGAACACTTGTGTTGTATAACGTCAAAGGAACTTGAAGAAGAAGAAGAAAACGTCAATCGAACAAATCCGCAGGAGGAGGATAAGCTCTCTCAGTTGGATGGACAATGGAAAGAAAAGCATGTCAAGCGAGCAAAACAGGAGGAGGAGGAGGAGGAGGAGGAGGTGGTTGTAGGGGAGGAAAAAGGATTATTCGGAGAATCAGAAAAGTGAAAGCGATATCTTTCTTGGCCTTTTGGCTAAGATTCAAGTGCATTGTATATGTTCCGATCATTTTAATGTCTGATCATTCGTTGTCCATCACGGGAAAAAGCAAAGTAAAAGATAGAAGGTAACCCATATGAAACAGGAAGAGGAGCAGATTGAGTATTTACTGCAGGGAGAAGAATGAGAGACGTTATGTCAATCGAGTAGAGGAAGAGGAGGAGGAAGAGGAAGAGGAGGAAGAGGAGGAAGAGGAGGAGGAGGAGGAGGAGGAAGAGGAGGAAGAGGAGGAAGAAAAGGAGGAAGAGGAGGAGCTATGGCCAGGGACGAGGAAGAGCGAGAGACGTTAAGACAATCGAGTAGAGGAAGAGGAGGAGGAGGAGGAGGAGGAAGAGGAGGAAGAGGAGGAGCTATGGCCGGGGACGTGTTACTTCATGAGGAACTATGGGAGGAGGCAAAGGATTTGCTACCCCACCAGGAAGTGAAGTGCTACTTAAATCTGTATGTAGAAAACGTTGTTCGACGCCGAATCGACGGTACATCTCCTTGGCCTCAACTCCAAACAAAGTCGATCATCTCCACTTGGCCTAATTCTCCAAGAAGACTTAGTCCGATACTGTGTTCGACGGTCCGTCTACGTTTCTCAGTCTCCGGTCTCCAAGTTGTGCTCACAAACAAAAAACTACAGTAGAAAGGCATGTCCAATCCGATCTACTGTTCAAGGTATAGGCAACCTTGCTCGACGGTACATCTCCTCGGCCTCAACCGCCGAAGTTGAACCCTCTCGTTCGATGGTGGATCTACTTGGCCTCATTTTCCAAGTCGGATACCGTGTTCGACGGTCCATCTACTTTTCTCGTTCTCCAAGTTGTGCTCGCGTCCGAAGAAAAAACCTTGTTCGATGTCGACAACCTTGCTTGCTCGACAGTACATCTCTCTCCTTTCTTTGGCCTCAACCCCCGAAGTTGAACTTCTCGTTCGACGGTGTGGATCTACTTGTGTTCGGTGGTCCATCTACTTTTCTGAGTCTCCAAGTTGTGCTCAATCAGAAAAACTCCTCTAGAACCAGTGTAGAATCTGTAGATACTAGAAACTTAGTACATACTAGAAAGGCACGTCCAATCTGACCTACCTATCGATTGTGGCAGCCAGGCTGAGTCCATAGTATGCAAGTGGCATAGCATATATGTCTGAGCGGTTGGAATCTGAAGTCGTATGAATACTTGGTTCCGCGGTGGGTCTACATTTGATTGGCCCAAGGTTGGCTCAAGTGGGTCCACTTGGGCCCAAAGTTGGCCCAAGTGGGTCCACATGGGCCCAAGGTTGGCCCAAGTGGGTACATTTGATTGGCCTGAATCTGAAATTGAATACCTGGTTCGGCGTCCGATTGTACATACTTGGTATTCAATGTTGGAAGTCCAGAGTACCTCATCCGTTGGTGGATGTACGTGGTCACAATTCTTCAGTCAGATGAGCTGCTGCACCATGCATCTACTTTTCATCAATCCCCTGAAGTTGGGCTTGCACAGAAAAAGACGTTAAGTAGAACGACGCAGCTTATCTGATCTATCTACCGAGTGTGGCCGCGAGTACGGGTATCATACTACTTGCGGGGCTTTACGATACATCGATACCTCATTTGGTACTGGATCTACTCGGCTCCGCTCTCTAAGTAAATGTCCTTGGAGCATCTACTTTTCCTCAGTGACTCTCTAAGTCGAATATCTTGTCCGACCGTACATCTACCAATCCTCAGGTGTTCAAGATTCAGCTGAATTTCTGAACACAGACCCCCCCCCCCCAAAAAAAAAGAGCACGACGGCCTTGAGATATCGGCGTTGGACTGACCAGCCCTTTTTTTTTTTTTTTTTGAAAAGGCACCCCCTTCGGTGATAGTGGTGCTGATAAGAGCAGACACCACTAGCACCTGGGGAGAGGCTCCATCTATTGGTGGGGAACATCACCTGCTGGAAAACGGGACCAGCGTCCCATATACAGAATGAATTTAGAGTGTGTAAGGAAGAAAATAAGGGGCTCCTGCCAGCATTGATTACCCTGGAATCCAGGGGATTGACTGAACAGGCTATTGGAAAAGGGGAGTAAACCTCTTCGTCCTGAAACGGGCGCCGGACACCTACTACTACAAACTAGTCCCTCCCCCTCCCCACCAGCCCTTTTAGTGCCAAAACTTCTTTTTCGAACTAATGTTATGCAGAGTCCATTCCGTACCACTTCATTTCCACTAGACAATTAGATGGGGGGGGGGAAGAAGTCCGGGAATTCTTCAGGGGGTTTCAATGGGATCGCTGCATCCACTTTGGTCCATTCACTGACCAGCCCTACAGTAGCTCATTTGGTAAAAACACCCCTGAAGTGTTGACATACAGACCAGGTGCTGAGTTCGAAGTCCACTCGAAGCATATGAGTGAAATACTGCAACTCTGAATTACCTGCAGGGCCGGTCAGTTGAAATGCCGTAGCCCTTTCACAAAAATAAATAAATAAATAAATAAATAAATAAATAAATAAATAAATAAATAAATAAAATTTGTTCATCCAGTTTATGAGTGAATTATCTGTGTTTCAACAGTTGATGGGTGTACCGACTGAGCTAGGCCCGTGGGTATTCATTTTTGTTTTCATTTTTTTGGCCGGTTTTTTTTTCCCTTTCAATTGCTGGTACTCGATATATGTGTGTCCTCCTTGCGCAGGGGCCATGCTGATCTTCTCTGAGGGCGTACTCACACTAGCACTTTCAAAATTGTATCAGCCCGCAATTTCGACCACACCTGTATGCATCTGGCCGCAATTCTGTCCAGAAACAAGTAAAAAAGCCCTGGTGTGAGTATGCTCTGAGTCGTCCCAAATTTACCGGGAACAACATTTGTAATATGTTGAGACTTAAAATATAGATATATATATATATATATCATGGAGCTCGTTTTTCAAATTATGAAGCTTGGTTAAGCGATCCTATCCACATTAAACCTAGTGCTCAGGTAGTATGGCCTTTTGTCGGCCAAGAAATCCTTAATGGAGATGTAGGAGGAGGTTTCCATATATATCGTCAAATAGAACTGCCCGGTAATATATATATATATATATATATATTCTACAGACTGTTGAGGGTTCAGCCTCCTAATGAGTCGGTGAAACTCCGACGAAACAGTTTGTCATAGCCCCTCGTTTGTTGTCCTCTTCTCCCTCTCTGCCTACGGTTTACCGGGCAGTTCTAT